TGGGCTGCCATGGGCTACCGTGTGTAGCCAGCAGCCAGCGTGAGCAGCCAGCAGCCGCCATGAGCGGCCGTCCAGAAGCCAGAGACTGATCCTGCCTCGCCCGGGAAGAGCGCAATGATGGTGCCAACTTGGGCCAGTGAAGCAACGTCCCCTACAACTAGACTGAAGAACAAAAGGACAGCAACTTGTCTGTTCCCCTTGCCCAATTCCCCAGCGCTGTTCCCATCCAAAAAAAAAAAAAAAGAACAAATGTAACCTATAGAAATTTTTTAAAATAAATAAATAAAAGTTACTTCTATTTAGAGATGTGTGGCAGACACTGCTATGTGTTCTCTAAAACCAGGTTCTTTTTCTTCCTGGGCACACAAGTGGGCTTTATATTCCAGCCTCCCTTATCGTTAATTGCAGCCATGTGACTCAGTTCTACCCAATGGAAGTAGGGCAGAAGCAGTGTATACCATTTCCAGGTTTGACCCATGAAAACCTTTCAAATGTTATGATTCTTTCTTTACCCATCAGCTGTTAGCAAAGGACATCAAGGCCCTAGTGTGGTTCTCAACTTTAGCTCCAGGGCAGGGGTATCAAAGTATGGCCCCATAACAGCAGAATCAACATCAGTTGGGAACTTGTGAGAAATGCATGTTTTCAGCACTCTCCCAGACAAACTAAATCAGAAACTTGGGGTAGGGCTGGAAATCTGTGTTTTAACAAATCTTTCAGGTGACTCTAAAGATAGTCAAGTTTGAAGCACTGTCTTAGGTTGGATGAGCTACAAGTTAGAAGGGACCTGGGTCCCTGAGTCACAGCATGTAGGAATTTGCCATCCACCAAATACTGTATTATACTGCTTGCTGAGAAATAATATTTTATTATTGTGAACCACAGAGATTTTAGAGTTTATTATAGCAGCGTTACCTTAAATCTACCTGATAACATTTAATAAAATCTATCAGAAGTGAATTTAGTTCATTTAGAAAACACTTGTGATCAATTTGCTATGCTCTGTGAATACTAAGATAACAAAATAGGTTAAATATGTAAAATTAAATAGGCTTCTTTACTAGAAAGATAGTGAAAGTTTGAAAGCTTTTCTGAAGAACCTTGAGGACAATATGCTAGGTGAAATAATAAACCAGTCACAAAAGGACAAATACTGTATGATTCCACTTATATGAAGTATCTAAAGTAATTAGATTCATAGATACAGAAAACAGAATGTTGGCAACCAGGAGCTTGGGGAAGGAAGCAAAGGAGAGTTGTTTAACAAGTAGCTTCGGTTCTACAAGATGAAAAGGCTCCAGAGATCTGTTTTACAACATTGCAAATATACTTAAAATACCAAACTGTACACTTAAAAAATTTTAAGATGAGGGGCAGCCGGGTGGCTCAGTTGGTTAGAGCGCGAGCTCTGAGCAACAAGGTTGCCGGTTTCATTCCCACATGGGCCAGTGAGCTGCGCCCTCCACAACTAGATTGAAGACAATGACTTGAGCTGAGCTGCCGCTGAGCTGCCAGTGGGCAGCCGGATGGCTCAGTTGGTTAGAGCGCATGCTCTTAACAAGGAGGTTGCCGGTTAAACTCCCACATGGGATGGTGGGCTGTGCCCCCCTGCAACTAGAATGAAAATGGTAACTGGACCTGGAGCTGAGCCATGCCCTCCACAACTAAGATTGAAGGACAACTTGGCTGTTTCCCTTCCCCAATTCTCCAAAACTGTTCCCCTTCCCTAATTCCCCAATAAAATCTTTAAAATTAATTAATTTTTTAAAATTGGTTAAGATAAAATTTATAATGTGTTTTTTACCACAATAAAAAAAGTTAAGCACACAAAGAAGATCATACATCTCCTTGTATTTGGATTTTCCAGTAAATGTAATCTCTCTTGCCTAAACGTATAGTGCGGTAGGATTATGGATAATTTTTATTTTGTTTTGAAATTCATATCTATAATTCACTTCATGATAGGATACACTTTACAGAAAACCCATATTATTGCCAACATAAGGGAAAATCAGAAATATCAAGTAAAGATACAAAATCACCTATCTTTTAATTCTAGTCTAACCTTTGCAAACATGGCAAAAGAGTTAAATTAAGTTCAATCAAAAATAATCAGAGTCCACCAAACAAGATAATCACAAAATAGCCAATGAAAGTTATCAGGTGATTTGAGAAGGTATGAGTGAAAGTACTTTATCAAGTATTCCTAATTAATTTCCAAGAATGACTTATCAAAAAATATGCTGTTGCTTCACTGACAAGTTTATTTTATCCCTTCTTTCTCTCAGTTACTAATTTTTCAGTGGCTTCTTAGTGGTAAGAAGTGTTGGGTAAAAGTAGTACTTCACAATTAATAACAAAGTGCCTCAAAAGAATTCATCTTAATGAGAAAACAGGAGAGAGCGGGGATATCTCCCTATTAGTCTGTGTATCTCAAAAATAAGCTAAAAGGAAGCAATCAAATCAAAGCTTTGGGCCTAAATAATAACATAAATCACCAAATAAAGCAAATTATTATTTAAAATAAACCTTCAATACAAAGACGGATAATCATCTGGATGGTATATTTTAAAGATAATCCTTAACATGGAATGGGGAGGGGAGATGACATCTTTTTAGGTACTTAGCCTCATTATTTTGCTATAATTGGTGGCAGCTTATCAATAGTATAGCAATATTTCAGCCACTAGGTGGCAAGTTAAAAAAAAAAACAGCCAAAAACAAAACAGCCCAAGATAATCATGCAAGTGCAAATTTAGTTACTGACTAGGGTAATTGATCAAAGGTACCAATAGCCCAACTCTTCCCATTCATAGCAACTGCCAAGAAGTGTGATTAAATGGAGAACACCCAAAGTAGGACATGGCCTTGCGAGCGATGGGTCTGAAGACAGTGTCTGAAGACAGTCTACTTCTCACTACTGAGAGTACTCTAAGAAAACTGAGATTTGGACAATGGGTGATTCACACTATAACCCCAAGGACTGCATCAGGGATGGGTCTGAAGAAGGGATCCAGGATAAAGGAAGAAAATCCCATTTCTTGAATTTAGTAGAGTTCTAGAAAAAAAAGAAAATCTCCCAAGATACAGGGAACCCACCCACGCACCACCATCCTCACATTCTACAACCTTATACCCCCAAATACTATCCTCACACTGTCTGAAATTCTACCTAGTAGTACAGAGTACTAACAACATGGTAGCCCTCGATACACACACAATAAAGCTATCAGAGAAGGTAATCACATTGAAACATCATGGAGACATGACTGGATAGTAACAAGAGCATCTGCATGGTAGTTTTAAAGAAAGGTCATTGGGAAATTTGACTCTAGTATACGGGAATAAAATGCCCCAGCCCATATCATATACATGCATATCAGATTCATGAAACCAATAGAGCCTCAAAATGGAGACAGATGCATCAATGTGTCACAGTCTGATGACATCAGTCATTAAGATAATATATCTAATTTCCTGGGCTCTGACTCTAAGCTTAACAGCCAGCCTTATCATAAATTGTCTTCCCATGTGTACTGACTCAGGGTTTTCAACCTTTCATCTCTAACATAACTAAAGGGTTCAGTAGACTCACAACACTCCTAGTGATTCACTAGGGCAGTCATTTTTTTTTTATTGTGAAATAAACGTGTTTTTTTAATTAGTTTCAGGTGTACAATACAGTGCAATAGTTATACTTTTTACCCCTCAAAGTGACAACCTCCCTCCCCCAATCCACCGCCCCACTTCCACCCCCCCATATCATACATATCTATAGGGCAGTCATTTTTAACCAAGAGGCATTCACATATTTGAATTCCCAAGGAACTGTTTGTTACTTTAAAAAGCACTACAAATCTCTGAGATTCTTTAAGAGTTCCTTCTACTGGTTGAGAATTATGGGCCTACATAGAGAGTAGATTGACCTAATTCAGTGAATCTGATAATTACATTTCTCTCTGCAAGTTAATATTTTTGACATTTGGTTTTTATATGTCAGTTTCTGTGCTCTTGGTTAATGTGAGGTATATGAGAGGCAGAGACATTTAATGTGTCAACAAAATAGTTATACATATTTGAGTTAGAAGCTTATAATACTAAAACTAGAATGGACCTTAAATAGAGTTCACCTAATTCAATCTAGTCTAACACTGGAATCCCTTCTGCATTTTTTGAATTTGTTTAATTTGGCTACTTTCTACTTAACACTTGAGAATAACTACACTGACAGCTGATCCCAGAAATGGGGAGAAAAGAGGTATTTTTAGAACACAAGTTTCTCAATTTTAAAAATAAGCAACCCTGAATATGGCACTTCAGTAAAGAGGCCATGAGACGTACTTTGGGAGGTAAAAATGCAGTGAGGTGGGGAGACAAAAGAAAAGGAAATTGGGCAAAAGGACCTAAACAGGGGCTTTATAAAAGAAATCAAAAAAAGAAATTGCAAATTAATTAACTAAAGGAGCACAATCTCATCAGCAATCAGGGAAATACAAATAAAAAACGTAAGTTATTAAATGTTGAACAGAATGACAAAATCTAGGAAGTTGGACAATACTAAATATTGGCAAAGACATGGACTAATGACAACTTGAGGACACTGTGGGGAACAGACTGGTAAAACCACTTTGGAAAACAGGCATTGTACATGTACTCCACCACCCAGTAATTTTACTTCTTATTCCTAGAGACACTTGCATGTATGTACATCAGCATCCATGTTCACAGCAGAGCTGTTTTTACAGCAACTTAACTAGAAACCACTCGAAAAATGATTACAGGTATAGAAAGGACAAATAGTGATATATGAGTACAATTGAATACTATATGGTAATGAAAATGAACAAGCTATAGCTGTATGCAACAATATGGACAATTTTCATAAACTTATTAGGCAAAAGATACAACAGGAAAAATACAAAGTTTATTTCATTACAAAACCATCATAAACAGACAAAACTAGGTTACATTTCTTAAGAGACATGCTCATGTATGCTCAATTATTTTCAGAAAGCAGGAAAACCCCTATTATCACAGGGGTTATTTCATGAGTGTTTATCCTAGTGGAGTCATTACCCTAGGGAATGAGATATCGTGACTTGAGAAGGACTAACTGGGACTTCTGGAATGATAATAATGTTTTCCTTCTTGAGCTGGATGATGGTTACAAAGATGTTAACCTTAAAATTGTTCTTCAAACTGTACAATATTCCATATACTTTTCCATAGTTATATCATGTCAATAAAAAAATGCTAAAAGAAAGAAGCAAACAAACAAATGTAACCACTTTAACACACATAGGTATATAAGAAAATATTTTTGGTTATTCAAAACCATATATATCCTCAAAATCTACACAATATCTTGCTAGCTAGTGATTTCTCCTTGTATATATAATTTACATTTTCAATACTCACTTATTATTCTCAGATTCCTCATACCAATAGCTAAACTCTAAAAATTAGACATTTTTTTCCAATCCTGTCCTCCTCAGCTCTACCAAATTAAGTTTCTGGCACACATTTCCATGTTGAAGGTTTCTGGTATGTTGCTTTCAATTTCAATTCCCCAGAAACAAAAATCTTAACAATCAGATCTGTCTCCTTCATACGCATACTATAAAACATTTTGCTATAAAAAAATAAAATTTAACTGTCACTTCCTCTTTCACATTTGCAATGTAGGATGGAAAAGTGCTGGGAAATAGAAACTTCTGTCCAGGGTGAAAGTCTAGCAAGAATGACAGTACAAAGAAATGGGAGATTAATGGTTCTTGCTGAGGCAAAAGGCTTGAAAGACAAACTAATAAAATTAAGCTATTGAGTAGTTTTGTTCTTGTTTTCTTTGCTTGTTTTTAAATAAAATGTAAAAAGCCACTCAAGGAATTTAACTTACAATTAGATTTTTGTAAACTTTTAAATTAATTTTTGAAAACTTTAAAAATTGTACTTACGTACAATAAAGCATATAAATCCATAGTTCAATGTTTACATAGATATACATCCGTGTAACTACTGCCCAGATTAAGATATAGACTTAATGCTAGATTTGAAAGTTTTATTGGAAAAGAAAAATAAGCTAGCAAAAACCTAAGAGATTAAATACCACTGATTCTCTAAACCAAAAGGTTTTTATTTTATTTAGTTAAATTTTATTTTCATACCTGAAATTCATCTTGAGCATTTTGAACATTGCACCATCTGACAACAGGTTCAGGAACCACTTCCCAATCCTCGCAGACTTGCTTAAGGATATTCACAAATGTTGACTTCCCTGCAGCTTTTGTGAGAGGAAAAATAAAACTAAGGAAAGAAACTTACCAGAAAAAAAAAATTCTACTCATCAGATTTTCAAGATTTATAGTCATGCACAGCATAATGACATTTCAATCAATGACAGACTGCATATATAACAGTGGTTCCTTAAAGATTATAATGGAGCTGAAAAATTCCTATCGCCTAGGTGAAATGTAGCTATCCTAACGTCTTAGCACAATGCATTACTCACATGTTGGTGGTCATGGTGGTGTAAATAAACCTATTGTGCTGCCAGTCGTATAAAAGCATAGCCACTCAATTTTGTGTAACACTTAATGATAATAAACGACTATGTTACTGGTTTATATATTTAGTATATGGTTATTTTAGATACTCTTTCTACTTATAAAAAAAAAGTCTGCTGAAAAACAGTATGCTGTGTTATGCCAGCAGCAGCCTAATTATTACATCTTGTGTTTAATGCATCTCTTAAATGCATGATTTTCTCTTGTGCTTGATTTAATCTCGTGTTTTGTACAGTAACATGCTGTACAGGGTTGTAGGCTAGGAGCAACAGGCTATATACCATATAGCCTAGGTGTGTAGAAGGCTCTACCATCTAGGTTTGTGCACTATATGGTGGTCTCACAGCGATGAAATTGCCTAACTACACATTTCTCAGAACATACTCTCATCGTTGAGCAGTGCATGACTGTAATAGCAAACAATACAAAAAACAAAAACATTCAATTCCCTTACCTTTCTCTTTAGATTTTTTTTAATGAAAACTAAAAGGGTCCCTGCTCACTTTATACTAAGCACATTTGTTATTGTTTTTAGTTTACCAAAACCATAAAAGAGAATTAAAAATGTGGTGGGATTTTTGGCAAGATGTTATAGCAGGAAAGGATCATTGTCTTAGACTCACTTTCCTTAACCAAGCAATGAGAGAGAACTTTGTGGGAAGAGGTCATAGCTATTCTCCCACTGAATTAGGTATGTGATTTTGGTTACGTCACTGAACCTCTCGGAGCCTGTTTCCTCATAATACAATGGAGAAATAATAATTCCCTCCTCATGGAAACTGCTGTGATAAGCAACTACAGTGATAGTCATTCTAGGCTCCCACATTTTAAAAATTTCCCTCTCTATTGGCTCCATTCTCTCAGTTTACAAAAAAAGCTCAGGTCTTTATCTAAAACTTATTTAGAAACAGCCAAAGAAACCATAAAATCAATATAAAGGTGCATCCAATACCTAGAATTTAGAATGGAAAATAGTATTATATATGACACTAATTATCATATGGCACTATGGCTAACAAATTATAAAAACATTTTTGCAAAGCACTTCCTACAAGAAATAGCCATGTTTCACTGCTTCACTTTCATGAGTCTGTGCAGTGTGCATTCTATCCAACCCTTTAAAAAAAAGTCATATGTACTTTACTTCTCCCTGACGATTCACTAGCTTCTGAGATATGGGGGGTGGGGGTAGTTCTGGTGTAATCAGAACACATTATATTCTATTTTTAAATTACCCAGGAATACATTCTATTTAATAATAGGAAAAGTCCTGACCTAGAATTTAACAGGGTATAACAGTACTCCTAATGACCACCACACCCTTCCTATCTGAAGTCACCAAATGTGGTTATATTAGACATCTCTAGTCAGCATAACGCGCTCGCGCTCTCTCTCTCTCTCCACACACACACACACACACACACACACACACACACACACACACACACACAACTTCAGTATGCTTGTAAGCAAAGCCTTCTCTTCCTTATAAACTGGATCCAAAGAGAACACAAAGAACTTACCTTTGACTTACAGAACTATATTCTAACCTAGGACAATAAATAGGGCAATAGAAGAAAAGAAAAAAACTGGAAGAACTTTAAAAGAGCACACATAGAGAACTAAAAGAGGGGCGTCAATAAGAAGGTAACACAGAGAGCAGTTGAGAAGCAAAACACAAAAGTCCTATTATCACCACAGGATAGAAGAAAAACTTTTAAGGATAAATTAGATGACTATGAGATCTAATCATGGGAAAAACACTTGTGACAACGGATTTTGTGTGGAAAGGGTAAGCATAGGTACTGTAAGGCATTTACAAGTATAAGTGGAAGCATATAAAATGATCACCAGACATTCACTGAGCTAGATGAAGAAGGAAAGGAAAACATGATGTTCAGAAAAAACACATTAAAAAATCAGGCATCAGCTAGACTCTGAAAGCACTAAAGGCTAGAGCATTCACCTTTCTTCTGACACTGTCTACAAACAGCAAACGTTTATGTAGCTACACTCTGAAATTTTAAGAGTAATAAGAGTTACATTTATAAGCAAAGTCACGATAGTTACCTATAGTTCCCAACTGGACTAATATCCAGTTCCTGGATATGGGAAACGGGAAACTAGAAAATAAGCTAACTTAATAAATTAATACTCTATGACAGCAAAGGAAAACAAGAACCAAGGACACTAGTGTTAATAGTTTAAAAAGTCACATGACCTGGCCCAGCTGGGTAGCTCAGTTGGTTAGAGCGCTAGCTGTGAGCAACAGGGTTGCCAGTTAGATTCCCACATGGGACAGTGAGCTGCGCCTGAGCTGATATGCCAACGGGCGGACGGATGGCTCAGCTGGTGAGAGCACATGTTCGACTCCCACATGGGATGGTGGGCTGCTCCCCCCACCCCACCCCCACCCCCACAAGTAGACTGAAAGCGGCAACTGAACTTGGAGTTGAGCTGCACCCTTCTCAACTAAGATTGAAGGACAACAACTTGATTTGGAGCTGATGGATACTGGAAAAACATAATGTTCCCATCCCCAATTCCCCAACACTGTTCCCTTCCCCAATTCCCCAGTAAAATCTTTAAAACAAAACAAAAAAAAGTCACAAGGCCTAAAAAAATTACTTATGCCAAGCAGGCATTATGGTGCCAAAAGTTATTCTGTACAGACTATTAAGATGAGAAGAACCAGGTAAAGCCTCCATAAATCTAACATAAGGAAGTATTTTAGTAACAAAGAACATAAGATGGATTATGAGTATAAAACTAAAATGACCAGTTAAGTTTCAAATTCAAGGGAGAACAGGGGAATCACAAAATAGTCTTGTACACACAGATGAGCAATTTGTACATTTATAGATTATTTGGATTTGACAAGTAAGGTGGAGGGTACACATGAACAACAGTGCAAAAGCAATAGTAAGTAAACAGCAACTGGCAAAGCTTCAATGTCAGGAAGACAAGTGGTCAGGAACTTCCACCATCTAAATAGCAAATTGTCTTACAGAAGAAATGCAGACCCGGCACTGCCAGATATTACTATAGATTTTTCAAGAGAAGACAAAAATTTAGAGTTTACAGGAATCTCAAATTTTTTTAATGCTAATAACTAATTAAAAAATTTATTTTTCAAATTTGTGGAGGCCACTATTGTACACTTGCAGGCCATCAGTTTGCAATTCCTTCTAGTGTAGGTAAGGGGGATGTCAGAGAATTTAAAGCAGGTGATAACACAATTACAGTAGTCTCCCCTTATCTGCAGGGGATACTTTCCAAGTCCCGCAGTGGGATGCCTGAAATCGCAGATAATACCAAACCCTACACATATTGTTGACCCTTGATCAACACGGGGGTTAGGGGTGGCAACCCCTCCCTGCCCCCACAGTAGGAAATCTGTGTATAACTTGTGACTCCCTTTTTTAAAACTTAACTATTCCAGCGGGCTGGCTGATTGGCTCAGTTGGTTAAGAGCTCACTCAAGAGTGCGAGCTCTCAGCAACATGGTTGCCAGTTCGATTCCTGGCCCGAGCCGAGCTGCCAACAGGTGGCAGGATGGCTCAGCTAAAACAAAAACAAAAACAAAAAAAAACTTAACTGTTCCAGGACCCCCATGAATACCAAAATCTGAGGATACTCAAGTCCCTTATATAAGTTGGCACAGAACAATGCTTACAGTTGGCCCTCCACATTCGTGGATACCCCACTGTGGACTGAAAGCAGTTTGAATTATTCAAGGGTCAACTGTACTATGTTTTTGCCTATACATACATTCACTTTGCAGCTTTTCTTTGGCATATCAAAATTGCCAGTGTCACTACTCTGGTGCTTTGAGGCCATTATTAAGTAAAATAAGGGTACGTGAACACTGTGATGCCATGGCGGTTGATCTGATAATCAAGGTGGCTACTAAGTGACTGAATGGACAGCTAGCATGTACAGTACAGATATGCTAGACAAAGGGATGCTTCACGTCCTAGGGGGTACAGAGAAAGACAGCATGAGATTTCATCATGCTACTCAGAATGGTGCGCAATTTAAAAGGTATTAATTATTGATTCTGACAACTGAAATGCCCATCAGTAGACGACTGGATTGAGAAACTGTGGTACATTTACACAATGGAATATTACTCAGCTATAAAGAAGAAGGAAATAGTACCATTTGCAACAATATGGATGGACCTAGAGACTATTATGTTAAGTGAAATAAGTCAGTCAGACAAAGACAAATACCATATGATCTCACTTGTATGTGGAATCTAAAGAACTGAATAAATGAGAAATGTAAACAGAAACAGTCTCAAATACACAGAGGAAAAACTGAGGGTTGCTAGTTGGGAGGGGGTGGGGATGAAGGAGAAGGGGAAGGGACAAGACAATACAAATTGATAACTACAATATGGCCTCAGGGATAGAAAAGACAGTCTGGGGAATATAATCAATAATGTTGTAAATATTTTTTAGGGGGCCAGATGGGCTCATGTCTTGTGAGAGAAGATCACTTCATAGTCGGTGTAGAGACCTGACCACCGCACTGTATTCCTGAAGATGATGTTGAATAATATTGTATGTCAACTATAATTATATATACATAT